ATATTAACTCTGCTCTGTATATTCACAGCTGGTTCCTCAGCTGCAGTTTCAACTCAACAAATATGATTAACAGAAGTATTTACACAAATCTAAATTTAAATAAAAGTATGTGACTTAGCAACACTTTTGGAGTCTACAGGCACACCTTTTACTTTAAGGTGAAAGAATCAATTTTATACTCATTAGTTTATTTGCATAACACATTCAAGGTCAAACAAATAGTTAATCTGTCCAACTAAGTGAATCAGAATGAAACTTATAAAACTTAAGTTGCAATTTGAAAATTAAAAGATGGGGAAAATGAAGAAATACCTTTTACGTTGATATTAACAGCTTGGCAGGACAGATGGAAGAACTATTTTCCAATATGCTGAGCATTACAGCTGGACTGTTCAGTATACCATGTATGCATTAGGACCATAAACTGTTTAATTGGAATAGAGTGGCCAGTTTTCATGATTATGTAACACAAAAAAAAAATTGATACAATGCAGAAAATCAACTCCTAAAGTTACATGTAAATGAAAGCTTTCATTTAAAATCAAATTAAGTGATTTGCCTGCACCTACAGAAAAATTAAATTTTCCAAAATTAACACCAACACTAAAAACTAGACAAAAAAAATAAAAACCCACAAACTTTTACGTAGTAGAGGTCTTGGCATTCACAATCAACAACATATAATGTATCAAAAGATGCTTAGAATTTGAGAATGCACTAGCTCATCAAGGACAGCTTGTACAATGAAATACCACTTTTCTTGTTGCTGTGGTCTTTTCAAGTTATTGTAAGTTTAGAGGCACTGAATTCTTTCCAATCTAGACAGAGCATCTATTTTGTCTTCAAAAACTGTGTTAAATGTTTTAGAAAGGGATTGTGTAGTTTTCTACACTGATAGGATCTTTCCAAAAACAAAGGTTTTGTTCCCAAGAGGGTAAATAATTCAATCTTCCACCTTGATAACTCATTATTACCCTGTTATTTTGAGTAAGACACAAATGTCAAGGTCTGGAAGCTTTAACACTAAGCAGGCACAAATGAAAAAAATAAAAAAAAAGTAGCTGAATACAAAATCATACAGTACACACAACGATGTAAAAGCCCTTAGGGAAATCTATCAGAAAAGTCCTCAGGAAACAAACTACCCTGCAGTGCACATGTCAGTAAGCATCCAGAACCATATTCTCATCAGGCAAAGAATACCTACTTTGGGCTGTATACCATAAGAGTGAGCTACAGTAAGACAAATTAATGTAAGTAATAACATGAATCAAGCATCAGAAAACATAGAAACTAAGATTACAGGCAAAAGTTCACAGCAAAAATAAAAATAAAAATTAGCGTCCCTGAGGTTGCTTATTGCCACTGTCCTAGTAGAGGTAAGGTTGTGCTGAAATGGAATGCAAATTATTCAGTTGCTTCAATGTGTTCTGGCAGCTCCTCTGATCTGCTGATAGTTTTATGATAAGCCATCAATCTTGACAATGACTTGGTTGAGACACACAGCTATTTCGCTGTCCTTGTTCTTCTGTTAGGCCAGCATTATGCAAAGCACAGACAGAATACAACTATTCAGTGACTCCTGTTAGAGGCTCCAGAAACCACCAAAGACACAAGCTGAAGCTCTAAAACATGGATCTGAGACACTCAAATGCCTCTCCCTCCCTAAGTCCCTAAACCCATTTGGTTTCAATGAGAAATTCAAAAGCATCTCTGACAGTCTGGTCTAAGGAAGCCCCGCTCCTCTACCAGAATCAAGGTTAAATGAGATTAAAATAAATTACAATCCACTTTGTTACCACATTCTTATTAAATAAGAACTTGCTCATTCTAATTGCAGAGTGTTACCTAATTAAAACCACGTATTCTGGGCATCAGTGATTTAAAGCAGAAGCTCACTTATGCTCAAGTCATATTAAAGTAACCCCAGCCACCAGAAGAGCTGCTGTATCCTCTCCCTTTGCTTGCAGAACTGTTTAGATATCCACATGATGTAGCAAATCAAAGAGCTGATTTATCTGAAAATCAGTGTGATTAGAAATTATCAGCTTTAGCTAGATCTTCTTATCAATCTACCTCATTACATAGTTATCTGAAAAATAGTACTAGCAGAAAAGGGGGGACTGAAAGCAAAGACATTCACTAGAAATTATGAGAGAGATTAACTTTTCAGGATTATCAAAATTACAATTATCACTTCAGAATGTGAAACCAAATTATGATAGGTAGCAACAAAAAAACAATTACAATGAAATTATCCCAATGGAACTGAGATCTCACACAAGTTCAATGTATCAATGTACTTATCATGTGCTAAAAACATTTGCAGGTATATAATTACACCATACTTAAGAGAACACAGTGAACAGAAATTTACAAAATCTGTGACCATACATCATGGCTAGACACAGACAAGACACTGTGGAAATACAAAATAATCATTAGATGGTTACAAATACATACCAGATGAGCAAAACAATTCACTGTACAATATCAAGAAGTAGAAGACCATGCCACAAACTCTGCAGTACTAGTGACAAATCAGAAGCAAAGAACAGAAGTAAAAAGAGAGTAACTGATGAAACTCTGAGAATTGGGAAATTAATACTTTCTCATATATACAGTAAGCAAGAACCAGTCACAAGGGAAAAAAAAGAAAATCTATCCTCTCCAACTTGGATCTCAATGTACCCATTTTCAGACTACTATAGTAAAAGACTTCAGGAGCAAAAATCTTCTAAAAACAAGTATCAAGTAAACATATAACAACTCTGCATATAAGCAAATCCAAGTTCAAGGGTGGGGAGAAGAAGTTGGGGGAGGTTTTAGAAGAAAAGGATGTGATAAGAGAAAAAAGTGGGTGAGCTTTTTTGTTCAGAATGAAAGTCTTTAAAAATGTGAAGACTCCAGATCTGAACTTTCCCAGAAGATCATTAGTAAACATTAGCTTTGCTGTAGCACACAAAGGTTTCAGTCAGTATTAATCAACTCCATTACACTGTACAAGCAACACTGAAATACCTCAGTACATTTAAAAGCTTCAACTTGCAGATTAGAGTGCAACAAGCAAATTACAGTACAAAAGACATTGTGACAAAAAGTAGTATTTTGATGTTTTCTGTAGATATTTAAGGGGAGAGATTTGCATTCCATTATTGTTTTTGTATATTTTCAATGTATGTGGAGGTAACACCGTCCTTTCCAAATGGGATACAACAAAGGTGTCATTAACAATTTGTTTCAGTCTTAGCAAAGCTGTCTCTATAGAAGATTTTCAGAAAAGGCAGTGGCTTTTTGGGTAAGATCAAGAAGAGTCCCAAATAAGGAACAACCTGAAGGACAGTGAACAATGCATCTGTGAGAAAAATGAGGCATGGAAAGACTGGACTGTCATTACCATCAAACAGTCACAGGCAGGGATATTGTATTAAAATAGATGAAATATTCCTGGCAAGCCAAAAGTGCATATTCTTGTACATTATATAAAAAGTGCTACTGAGTTGCAGGCAGCTTTTCAACTCTGCTTTTACTCCACTCAGTAGAAGGACAGCAATATGTTATTCAACAGCACAAGCTTCCACTGGATTATTGTATTAACATACCTGCACAGTGAGACTACCTTACAAAAAGCCTATCAAGCAGAGTTGAATATATCTTTCAGCAATGAGAACAACGCAGAGGAAAAAATGAAAGTGCCATTAAAAGAAAAAGAATGTTATGTCTCAAGAACAGCTGCTTGAGAAAATCAGATAAAGATGTCAGGAGAAGGTCAAGTTGAAAAGCAATTAAGATGAAAGATATGAAGTGGAACCTTTTGCCACTTAAAAAGGCAATCATCTGGTAAGAACATATATGCTGGAAACGTGATCTCTAACTGGAAATAGAGCGAAGAAATTTGCTACCACACTGGAAAAGAAAAAAAAAAAATAAAATTCACCTATGCTGGTTGTTGTGAGTAAAACCCAGAATGGATATGCATTCTTTCAGAGATAAGTACCACATGCAAACTGTTTCCTCTGAATTTCCCTACAGTCAAGAGACTGCTTTGATTACAACAACTAAGAGCAAAGCAAGTTTTAAAATCCTCTATTTAATAAATTTCAGCACAAAAAAAAATACCCAAACCATAAACAGAAGTCAGTATCAAAAGCAGTATCTGTGGACAAAAATGGTAACTTAAAAATAATGCCATGAACCCCGAAAAGAGAAAATTATATCACCAAGAAAATCTATTCTAAATACTGAGCACAGGCATTGACTAGAAAAGCACTTAAAATAGCAGAATAAGCAAAGTGAGAGGGAGCTGCAGCTGGTTCTCCAATTACTAGGTATTGTTTAAAATTGCATATTCAACTCAAAATCCCCCAGAACATTTGTACTCTTAAAGACGACTTACACAGTAGTTGAAAGATCCATTATTTTAAATTACCAAATTTAAGTTATTCAAGTAGCTGCAAATAAATCTTCTTTCAACAAGAAGAAGGAAGTAAAATGAAGAAAACCAGAACAGAGGGAAGTATTAACACAGTATCTTCTACAGTAATTTCTAAGGACTATAGAATTAATCTCTCAAGTTTTCTCTTCTGAAAGTCCAAGCATACACAGGATGCTAGAACAGCTCTGTTACCAGCCTGTGTTAACAGCCCATGAGTGAATATTTGCTTAGAGTGAGTATGAACTCCCTGAATTATTTGTGTTAATAACATTAACATTCAGTGAATCTTGCAAAATCAGCTGTAGGGGAACAGATGATTAAGTACAACTCTGTGCTGGTGAGGAGCATATTAAAAGCTCAGAAATTCTTATACATGTACACAGACATCCCATTATAGGGTGATTTTTTTAAAAATTACAGTACCTATCTTGCCTACATGCTTAACATAGTTGAAGGTAAAAGAACTAATAGAGAGAAAATTAAAGGAGTGAAGAGTAAAACACTAAAAAAGCTGTATGTAAACAGAATGGTCAGCAATGTTTCACAGCAACATTTTAGGAAATACCTGAGTAGAAAAAGAGCCCTTTCAATATCACTGAGTTCTTCATCAACTGTCAATCTTTCTATTTCTTCTGCTGTCTGTCAAGTGTGAAATAGAGATTATGAGTTTACAATGCCTTACTATTTCACTGTTTAAATCATAAAACAATCCCTTTCTCCCTACACGTACAGGGCTGGCTTCACAAGTAATTTGAATTTATTCATGAAACCTCTAGCCAACATTTCAAATTCAATCAAGTAAATCTTTCACTAGGAAAAGATGGAATGTCAGAGAAGTACAGTTTCAAGTCAGACACTATCACTATTAAACAAGTAGCATATAAATTAATCTGAACACCCAAGTTAGTTTATTTGTTCCCAACTTAATATTCTCATGCTGAAAACATGAAATCTCTGCTCTATAGAATTCGAGACTGTTTATTATAGAACAGCTGGCGTTTTGTATCCTGATGCTGTAAAAAAAAAAAAACCGAACTAAAAAAAAACCCACCAAGAAAAACAACCAGAAAAACTATCTATTCACTTATTTGTGCATAATTAAAACAGATACAATTTAAAATGGATTTTAAAGCAGCGTTCTTTTTCGAGGTATATACCTTCAGGCTCCTGCGTACTGGCCTCTCTATAATAGTTAGTTCCTGCAGGTCTTCTATGTATCCAAAAAGACTGCTATGACTAAAATCCATTTTGGAGAAGATTATTGGGCGCATGTAGCAACTAAAGCCTTCGGCAGCCGACGCTGTCCCCGAGCCTCACATCGCAGCGAGGGCGGCAGGACCGAAGCCCCGGGGCGCTCCCGCGGCCGGCAGCAGCCGCGGCTCGGCGCACACACTGCGGCAGCGCCCGCCGGCCGCCGCCCCCGCCCAGCCTCCTGCCGGCAAACTTTCTCCGCTCCGCCCGGCCGGGC